AAAACTTTGTGATTTTTAAAAATGAAAGAGGCATTTATCCTGTAAATCATAAAACCTTGGTATTGGTAGATAAAACCAGCCATAAACAACAGATCCCAGATGCTGAGGATTCCCCAGTTCCACTTGATAATGAAAGGCCACTGTAAATCCATAAAGGGGAAAATTATAACCAACTAACTGCTATGCACTTGTACACCTGAAATATGACCATGATTATAGGCAGGGTGAAATGTACTGAATAAAGTATTTTCTAAATCAAAATTCATACCCATGTCTTCAAAATACTTGCAAAGATGGGGCTGAGGATGTAGCTCAGTCGGAGAGTACTTGCCTACCACATGCAAGGCCCTGGGCTCAACCCCATCAATGCAAAAATACTCATACATACATGCATACTTGCAAACTTCGTTTTTTTCACGTGTAGGCGACAGTTTACAAAAACAAGTGTTAACCATAACTGTGATCATTTGTAAAACTCTCCAGCGAAGCTATTTGTTAACCTACATTCAGTTTTTAGAATCAGCAAGGATGCCACTGTTGGCTTCACATTCTATWTTGGCTACATTTGACATGTGCCTGGTTTTATTTCAAAATTGGGGCTTCACAAATCAAATGTTATTTCCCACACCTGAAAATTCATGAACCACATATTGCTGCCAGCAGAAGTACAACATGAAAACATAAGACCAGCTCAGCAGTAATCAGAGGCACCTGTTTCACAAAACGCTTGCCACTGTACTGAAATTAATCATAAATTTAAAAGTATGTTGCTTAACCCCTCTCATGAAAAGCAACTCAGACAATCATCAGAAAATAGAAAGACTTTTTTATATTACCCTGGATTTACTTCTAAAAATAAAAGATTAATTCACTAAATCATATTTAATGAACAGTAATGGATCTAGAAAATAGCAATATTCCAATAAGCAAATTAAGACTTCCTCGTCATCTATTGTTAATAAGATAGCAACAGTAACATAGGGTCCAATTTTCCATAAAGCAACAGAGGATGGCTATGATGTGGACTGTAACTAGAAAGACCCTGCATGAATTTCCTGGCTCTCTGGAAACTGTTTTTGACACATACTCTTTCCTATAACATGCAATAAGCCATTAAAAACCTCCACAATGTGGTAAGTTTCAAAGACTAGGGAGAAGTGTGATGTATTTTTGTCCTACTGAAAACAAATGATAAACTGTAAAACGATCATACATTTTTGTATACTCTGATTACATGGCAAGTGCCCCTTTAGATTAAGAATTGTGCTCAATGATGATTAGAACCCAAATACAAAGATTACTATACATTTACTGACACTATTCTAAAAGCATAACAAACCATTTTATCATTCCTCCCAAAATGCTATCCCCACTTTAGTTACTCCTAACTCAGCAGGATCAGACTTAAAGACGTCTATATGTGAATGCCAATAACAACACTAACTTTTTGAACAAAATAAAGTCTTTCTCCAGTAACTGTGTCCCAGTTAGCCAGAGCCACATTTTACCTGTTAATGAAATATTACATAGGTATGATCAGGCCTGCTTTAAATCTGTTTTTTTTTTTTCCTTCTCCTTTTTCTATTCTTGCTACCTCATTCCTAGGAAGAAATGCAAATTCTGAATTTCAAATAATTGCAATTACAAATGAACATTAAGAAAGCAATGCGTTCGGAAGATGTCAAGGAAAATGCTGTATTGGGATTGATACATACAACACTTTTAACTTCTGGGGGTTTTATGTCCCTGCCTCCTCCTACCTAGTTCTTCACACAGTGGCTCCATCTCTTCAAATGCGCCAGTCCATCTTCTTATTCTTAAAGAGGGCCACCTTAGCTAACATACCACTCGACTACCTCCCGCACTGTGTCCCAAAGCTTCCATCTCATTTTCTTCATTGCACTTCCAGTCAGCTTTTGTTTTCTACTTCCCTCTTAGCTTGCTCCTTCTCCTAGGGCAAGGGTTTTCTCTGGTCTTTGCACGTCTGTATCTCTAGCACCCATGGAGGTGTTTCCCAGGCATCATCAGTACATGTTGATCATCTAAAGTGCTTGATATCCAAAGTGTTCCGGGTTTTAACTTTGGAATATTCACATATACATGATGAGATACCTTGGGGAAGGGACTCAAGTATAAACTCTAAATTTATGCTTCATATTTACAAATAGGCTAAAGGTAATTTTATACAATGATTTTACTGTGTGTGAGCTTTGTGACATATCACATGGGGTCTGGTATGAAATTTTCCTCTGGTGGTATCATACTGGCACTCAAAAACTTTCAGATTTCAGAACATTTTAGGTTAAAAATGTTCAATTTGCATTTGCTAAGTGAATAAAAGTGTTAGAATGTTAACCATAAATTGAATCTTCCTATTTTTTATAGAGTAAGAAAATAAAGAAGAAAGTTCAAAAACTATACTTATTTTAAATGTTATTAATTATGAGTAACTTATCTATCTTTTAATWTTTTAGAGTCAGTTCTAACAATTTCTAATACAGAGATCTTCAAAAGTTTGACATGTAAACTGAAATTCAACTGAATTTTACATATCTATAGACCTAATTGTTGATGTTTAGTTTAAATCCACAGGTTCAAATAATTTAATTCTATACCTGAATGTTTCAGAGAAACTTCTGGGCCATAAGATTATGAAATAGTTGAGACATCAGAGTAGAATGCTAACACTTCAAATTAAAAAGGCAGATAATCAATTGCTTTCTATATTTAAAAATACCACTGGGAATGTTTGCCCCTGGCATTTGGCTGAATTATCTGGTGAGAGGTGCATGGGGAAATTGTGTGGTCCCCTCTACAACAAGATTCAACTCTGAACAGAAACTGGGGACAGGAAATGTTAAATGCACGTAGGTAATGCTAAGGGCAACATCTTTTGCCCAAGTGTGACCACTTGCTACCTCCTTCCTCCAGCTGTGTGGGCCATGTGCTTCACAGGGAGATGCAGGCTACTGCCTGTGTCATTGGGTGTTTCCTCTTCCTTGGGTCTTTAGTGTCTTACACTGCTAAATAGCACTCCCATTTTACACCCGAGACRCAAAAGTATAGGGACTCAGGTGATACATCCAAGGTCACATAGTTTCCTAGTTTCAGTAAGAGAATCAATTGTTAGAGGGTAGAAATTCTCATGGAATAAAATCTATGTTTCATCTTTGACACTTATTTCTATCCCATGAAAATAACCAAATAGTCAWATTTCTCCAATTAAAAGATTACAAACACGACCAGCTTAGACGATCTGAGTTTCCATCCTCATTCTGCTCCTTTTCTCACTATAGTATCTTTAATTTGGGCAGCTCTGGAAATCCCATGACCCCAAAGAAGGGACCACACATGCACAAGAGCCTTTGGATTTTTCCCTTCCACCTCTTCAGGCTGGTTTGACCCCCTCCTGCCTCCAGAGTGGTTTCTCCTCAGGCAGAGGRCATCAGAGTGAATCTGCAGATTCCTTAGGAGCTTTCTGACAGACCCAGCTTGGTTTATATGTCCATTACTAGACCCATTGCCCTGGGCTAAGAAATGGTATACAATAATGATGACGGTTTTGATCAATCAATAATGACAGAATTGGAGTAGAAACAGAATATTTCAATATGGAGACAGCTCTTCCCAGGGCGGGGAGTGGAGGGGAGTAGGGCCGAGTTTCAGGGAAGACAAATGGATGTTCACTTCATCATGAAAACAGAAAGTACTAAAATGTATTTTTCATTAAATAAGTGGAAGTTTTGGTGATCTTTTAGAAATACACAAAAGAGAAATGAAAAAAAAAATTGCCTACATGGATGTGGGCCCAATACAGAGATCTTCTGGATTTGTATAGTTAAGACAAAAATAGCACTGAAGGAATTACTCACCTCCACATGCCATATGTTATATCYGTGAGAAAATAATATGAGTAGAGAGAAGACATGAAGTCTCAGTGCATTTTCAATTCAAAATAGTGTATATTTATTTGGATCAAGATATAGATTTTGAACATGCAGTGTATTTGTTAGAGTATGCCAGAAACTTAACATATAATTTAACATACAGTTCAGAACTTACTTAAAAGAAGCACAGATTCAGTGTCTTGTTCTGCCTCAAAGTTAATGTGTCTACCCTWCAAGTTTTTAACAAATGCTAGATGACCACATAGCTGAGATACCGGGGAAGGATTTCCCACACGGGATGGCAGATCTTGCTAACTCAACTACAAAGTGAGTCCCAATTCTAATAGTCTCAAATAGAATTGATATCTTAAATCCCCTGAAGAGATATTTATTGAGAAAAGTAGACATATTTTTAAACCACAGTGCAAATAAGAGAAGCAGAAAATACTGTTGTCTGGTCTTTGAGTCATCAGCAATCACTGTTATTAACATCACCCATAAATGAGACATTGCGTTAGTCTGACTTACAAGATAGAGTAAAGAGTTAGTTTTTTTTTCTTCCCCAAGACTTTAGTATAAGATGATCACATGTTCAAAACAGTAAAACACTTATCAAGGAAATCAACCATTGTAATTCAATATGAAGATGTATCTTGGGCCTGAAGTATCATCAGAAGGATCAGATCTTAAGAGAGCTAAACACGCATGTGAGATAATGACTAGAGCATGGACCAGACCCAATAAAGGAATCTGGCTTTTAGTAATCAGTGGGACTTGCACATGTCATTTGAATTGTTGAATATCTTAGATTAAACAACAACAACAACAACAAAAATACTAAAAAATACTCAGGYGGAACAAAGTAAATTCTAAGGTCCTTTTCAACTTTACTATTCCTTTAAATTATTCCACATAGAATAAAAATTAAGTTTGGGATAATAGAGTTGATGATACAAAGTACCCAACATACTAGCTAGCCAGTCTCAACAAAAATGTACTGTAGATGGAAAGCAATTCTTAGGAAAGAAAAATAAACATAATAGTCATAAAATAAGAAATTTTTGCTGTTTCCTTATATTGATGCTGCTTCTAATTCTTGTGTGTTTTCTTGAGTCAAACAGCTGAGGCTTGAATCACCCAGGATCTCACATCCAAGACCTGTCAGTTCAATGATCACTGTTTTCAACACAGAAATGAATGGCTGCTCTGCTGCTAAGCRCTGGAGAAGTAAGGATAGCCTATGAAATGTGCTTGCTTCTCTTCTTCCCCCTCCCCTCTCCTCTCTCCCTTTATACCCCAAAGGCTGATGAAGGCAACAGATGCTTTGATTTTATGTCAGCTCTTGCACATATTATAGCAAGGATCAACCATCTTTCCAAAGTATGTCAAAATTCTCACTCAATCCTATTGGTACATCTATTAAGAGAGAAATGCTGTTCACTAGATGCAGAGAGGGTATATAAATTCTTTGAATTTATAAAGAAAAACTTTTAATGTTAAAAGTTAGTCAAAGGATCTAGTAAGAAGAAATTAATTGTTTAATCACCCACACCAGTGCCTAAAAAATCCTCACACTACAAACACCCACTGCTAATTTTTTTTTGCTAAGAAGAATAATGCACAATATTTTCCAATTAAAGAAAAAAAAGTGAATCATTCCTCTTATAACATAATCTGAACATGTAAAGTACTTTAAAGCCTGAATTATCCAAATAAGGATTTTAAATGCATACATTGCCTAATAAAATAACTTAGCCAAGAATGTTTTTATACACACACATATCACAATTATTGGTCAATACTACTGAAATAGTCAAACAAAAACAAATCAACAAATGAAATAATTTGTAAAAACAAATGACCTTTCTCCAAAAGATCTACACCATAGTCATGTTCCTCCCTCTCTCTAGTTTCCCTGTAGGGACCTCAGAAGGAAGTCAAAGGGTCACTAACAGCTATCTTCAGCAACTTTTCTGCACAGCTTTTCTCCTGCAAAGATGAGTCAGGATGAAACCTGGAAGAGCAGTTACCAGGCAGGAAGTCCATGCTTAATCCAATACCATTGCACACATGCAAAAAGGTGCTAGGGTCTTATGAAAGAGATAAATAAATTTCTCCTTTTCAAGTAGTCAGTGTCAGGTTAGAATTTTTATCAGGGATAAGAACAGTCCTAAGTACATGATCTGTTTTATAACTTGAATATTATTCAATGTGGCTAAATAAAAATATATAAACAATATAGTAATTTTATTTTCTTATATGGGAGATTAAATAAAATCTGATCTGAAAGATCCTTTAAAGAAACATTGCTATAACTTAGTACTTAGTGGAAAACAAATAAAATCGCCAAACATAATATAATTGAATTTTAGGGTTCTTTTTTAGTTTTTTTTTTGTCACATTCAGGATCATGGCAGTTCTGTAATCAATGCAAATTTCTCTTAAGGAATAATGCCAAATGAATCATCTATGTGAGAACCTCAAAGAATAAATGGTTCTCCTTGGTCGATACAATTAAGTACAAGWTGTGTCTATGATTTACCAATATATTCAGAACTCTGTAGTTTTATGAAAATTCTTCAAAGCTTCTTCATACCCAATGATAGATTATAATCTTAAAGTGACAAGAATCCCCACACTAACAATTCCTGCCAGAAAGTCAATTCCCTGAAGATATTCAGGTAAATTAAAAAAAAAAAAAAATCCCAGTTAAAATCCCTTAGTTGATACCTTTATGCCAAACTGGGCACAGCAGCATGTGCCTCAAGTCCCAGCTCTCTGGAGGTTGAGAAAGGTGTATGGAGAGTTCAAGGCCAACCTGGACAACAAAACCAGACCCTATCTCAAAAAAAAAAAAAAAAAAAAAAAGATAGAAAGAAAAGAAAAAGAATGATAAAACTTTAACTGCATTGTGTTAGAAATCATGTAAAATTTAAAATTATATAGTTCTACACCTAGAAAATCTTTAGAAATAAAACCATTTTGTGTCACATTTTAGGAAACTAAATCCCAGGAATGTTTGATGATTTGCCCAAGGCACCTGTCTAGCTTATTTAAACTCCTGAATTATGAAAGGACAGATGAGTGACAAGAGCAGTTCTTTTAAAGAATCAAATATATTCATCTTCGTGTACATTTGAATACATCAATTCTAAATCAAAACACACTATAGAAGAGACATTATTTAGGATAAAGTTGAATATCAGTAACCACTTGAAACTGTACAAAAGAGGGGGCAGACTTATTGGGGAATTTTCTGGGGAGTTCTTTCTAGCTCAGTCTTTCATTATATATACAAAGTTTCTCTGGTAATCTGAACCAATAGAAAAATTGACAAGACAGAGAGCTAAGTTTCAAGAAACAAACAGTACAGGGAGAAAATAAGAATGCCACCTCTAGTTTATCAATGGCGCTGATAATAAAGATGTGAATGTCATCAGGAAAGTCCACCACATTCTGTGCTTTGATGTGAACAGTTTTTAAGTCATGAAAGAAAAAGCACACAGGGCATAAACTTTCAAATTATGCCAAAGACTAATTAAAACAGATACACAGTAGATATCATTGAATTCAACCATAGTGCCCATTTGAGAGGGCTGGCTGTAAGCATTAGTCTCGCCCTTTAATACATTTCTACAGCTGTTAAACATAAKTGGATGTCTCCCATACACAATTCAGAGAGGCCCTGAAACTGAAGCCAAAAGATGCACTGAGAGGCCATCATGCCATATGACACATCTTTAAAAGCTCTGGCTGTTTGACATCTGACGAAATGCCAAATCCCTAGTGCACAAGTCTACTGTGACACATTCTGCTTACTATGTAGCAGATTGGAGTTGGACACTCAATATGTATCTAACTCCACAAAGTTATAGACTGTCTAATGGGTGCTTTCTGATAAATCTCAGGTAAGACATCAGTTTCATATCCAAAGCAAATGACTTGATGGTTAACATCTTATCCTTAGCCTGACCTTGACAAACCAGGTAAGATATGATTACTGCACTTGAAGTATAAAGACTATGACTATGATATCATTCTCTTAACTGTTTTAAAGACATTTCTTGGATACCTCCATAATATTTTTCCTTATAGGTATATGTTGTAAACTTAGAGTTTTTCTGTTGTTTTTTATAATCCTTCACAAACTATCTGAAGGTATCTAAGGGATTTTGTTTGAATCTACTTGTACAAACATATGTCATTTTACAAATCTGAGGCATGAATCTGACTTARTATATATTGATTGCAAGAAAYTTGTACAATGAATGCCAATATAATTAAAAGTACTTAAGCTTCTTTTTTTTCAATTTCTGAATTTTCAAAATTACTCATGCAAGCTGACAGTATTTTTTGATGTGACACAAATTTTAAATTCTAGAATACATTAGGAAAACTAAATTTAGAAAAAATAGACTCACTACATTAGAACAGATTCTTCACATACACGCTTTATGAGAGAAATATCTTTAAAACTCCGATTAACAAATCATAGCCGTATTTTTTAAGAAAATGTCAAATAATGACAATTTTGCATTGTTATCGCCAACATGTGAGTTTTCAACCCTCGGCCTTTATCAATCCCAGCAGAATTTCTGGCATATAGAATTAATTCACATGGCTTTCAATGCCATAGAAATTAGGATCTAAATTATTTATTAGTCAATGCTCAGGGGTTGTGAATGGGATACATTCATGTTAGAGATCAAAAGGCCAGAAAAAAGTAGGACTGGAATGCAAATTTTACAAAGATTCCTATTCAACAAGGTCAGAAATAAGTTCTAATTTTTAAAATGTAGATTATATATAGCTGCCATCTACCTCTTTCTCATTTGGGCACATAAACTCAGTGATCTCTGCTTTTTCTTTGCACCCTGAGGCATTTCTGGGCATTTTAAATCTATCGGGGACCCATCCACAGCTCACCAGGAACTTAGAGCACTGACAGGTACAAGAAAAATCCTAGTTCTCTGCTATTTATTAGCTAATTTACGAATGTCTCAACATGAATATGTTATTTTATGGTTATTGCTGCTTGTAGCTGACAGCACATAAGAATTCCCTTAATTTAACAAAATTATGAGCAAACATCACAGAAAAGCATTTGAACTCCCTTGTACAAACAGCATTTCAGATTACACAAAACTGTCTAGAAGTCTTAATTGGAAGTGTTCATCATCGGCACCAACTTGAACATGAACAATTCTTTCTCCCATGAGGAGCCTTCCCAATTTTAAAAGGTAAAAACAACAACAACAACAAACATACAGCATTATTGAAAAACAACAAGTACAGCAGAACATATTTTGACCAATTAAGAGATTRGCTTGCAAGATACTTTTTTGAATGGCTTATTAAAATAACAATCAATTAATTACATCTAAAATATTAACCATGTGTCTAGACCTACGGCTGGTTATACTGTCTAGATCCTATCTGATAACTATTCTTGCAACAAATCAAGTAAAATGTAGCACTTCAGTACTTACAGACTGCTCCCAGAGAACACCATCTGGGGAACCTTTTTCATTTAAGATTAAAGCTGCACACAAGGTTTATTGTTAGTCCCAGCAAGCAAGAAGGAACAGGAGAGGAGGGTGGAGGGAAGTGCTTACTTCGAAAATGCTCCGAAGCATAATAATAGACATCCTCATAGCCCTCGTGGTAATCCTCTTCTGGTCGGTACTTTTTGCCCTTTCTTCTCCTAGATCTTCGGATCTGCTTGACAAAACCCAGAAAGCGGTCCATCTCTTGCTCACTGTGCAGCCCTGCTCAGCCAGCACCAGAGTGCAGAGACAACCCAGCTGCTTGGGAAGCCGGTGGAGCATGAATGACCAACACACCAAGCCTGGGGACTGGACGCACTGCCTTGTATCTGCCTCTATGCTATCACCACAGCAGAGATTTTAGCCATGGAAGAGATTAAAAATAAGAGTGCTATGGAGTTTACCTTGACAAGATTTCTCATTTAGTTCAATAAACTGTCCGATCTGCAATTTGAAAAAGAGGAGAGGGAGAGAAAGTGAAATGACAATGAAAGACTAGGAGGAAAAAAAAAAAAAAAACAAAACGGCAAAGCTTTAGACTTCAAATAGTTTCAAAACAAAAGTTCAGGAGATTTGGCTGAGGCAAGAGGAGTCCCAGCACTAGAATGTCACTATCCAACCTCTCCACCACCAGGGGCAGGGGTGTGTAGGAGAAGAGGGGCGGGGAAACATAGTCAATGGACGGAACCAAAGGGAGAGATAAACTGACTTTTTCCTACCTGCTAATCCCACCACCTGATTTTAGCACCCCTTCTCTCAAAGCACAAGCACATGCTTGGGAAACTTCTTGGAAAGCTATTGTTTTGCAACAGGAGGACTGAATAACTTTGGGCTCTCTCACATATCCCATTAATGAGCAGCAAAGTGGTTTCATCCATATGCACAGCCCTCTTGCTGACAAGAGTGTGCTGTATGTGTTAATTGGAGCAGCAGGGAGAAGGCTCAGCAGCTGCTTTCAAATGACACGTTTACCCACTGGGCATTAATGTATTCCAATCGCTGTTTGATCTAAATATTAAAATGCACTTCACAGAGAAGCTTCTCATAGGCTTAGTAACAGAATACCATAATCAGCAAATAAAGGAAACTGCATGGTTTCAGGGAAAGGAAATACAAATAATCCAACTCTGCTAGCACTGAACTCCAGTATAAATCTAGCTGAGTTATTACACTTTAAAAAAAAATGTGAAAACAAATGGGTTAAAGAGCCTATAAAACATAATTCTTCCTGGTGAAGATGGCAAAGGGAGAAAAGTTGCAAAATATGCTCACACCCTATTCATCCTTTTATCTTTGAAAGTCACATTTTTCCCTCCTAAATTAAGTAGGACAATCAGAAACACTTCAGACTAGATGAGGGAAGTACTCTAAAGTCTAGACAGGTCAGTGTTAATCATGGATAATCTTTTTTCTCTGTAGCTTCTTTCTTCTTCAGGTTTTTTCAGTGGAATTTTTTTCACACCAGGAAAGAATTGATTTGTTTACAGTATAATTAATCAAACATGACAGCATATTACCAAGTAAACTAATGATATTCTGCAGGACCATGTTCTCCAAAATGTAATTTTAAAAAATGCTTAATGATATACAAGTCTTATTATATACAAGTCATTCAATATCCATGTAATATCAAGATTTTAGGACCATCCCAAAGGTAACTGATTACATGTGGCAACCTGTTGTTACATTAACAAGCAATTTGTCTCTCTTCAAGATTTAGACTATTCTCTGTTTTTGGATATAGACTGCTAATGACAAAGCAGGGAGACATTATTTAGAGAAGCAAACATTCATTAGCCAAGAACATTTCAGCTTTGGAATGTGTAAACTTATTTTCAATAGTTCCATGATTTTCTGCTATCCCTAGAGATTTCTGATTTTTTATGCCTTAGAAGGGAATTTGTGAAGAGAAACACAAACTTCATGATACTGACAAAAAGATGCTATAAAATGTTTTATGGACAAAAAAAAAATCACTTGTCCTTAAGTTCCAAATCCTTCCTTTATTATTCTGACTCTCTCAAACAAAATAAACTAGGACAATTAAAAACTAATGAAAGAAAAATGTGAAGATCTGGAGTCTGGATCTTGAATAAATCACTAAATAAATGATGATAATAATAACATAAAATCTTTTAACTTAATCCATCAGCATGTACAATGAGGATGAGGTAAGCATCATTATATCTCTATGGATGAGGAAAAACATATAATGCACTACTCTTCAACAGTGAAAAGATAAGTATTACATAGAAGAACTTAAAACTTTCCACAAGAGTTTACAGATTTCTTAAATAATGGTAAGCAACCATTTTTGCACAAGAACCAATGCAGATAGTCAAATTATCTATATGCCTATGGGTTTATTTTCAGAAATAAACAGAAATTGTGCTTCTGAGCCTATTATTTGCTTATTTTTGAAAGGTTTTATATGAGAGGTTAATATTTCAATATATACTTGAAATGATACCATTTTAAACAAATGTGGTTATGGTGCTGACAAGGAGTGTTGAGGTCAGCTTTATACGTGGAGGGGTACAGTAGAGAGTTTAAACACTTTATTAAAGCAATCATATGCTTGGGAAGCTGGAATAGGGTAGCTGTTGTTTACAGGAGGCCTCCCTGGGTCATAAACAATGGAAGAATGTGGTAGGGAACAAGATGGGGTCGGGAGAGGGGAGCATATGTGTATATGTCTCAATCTAAAAAGCATCCTTTGGCTGAAGGATGGTGGAAATGGACAAAATCCTTTTAATCAGTCTTCTTGGGTACATATCTGTGAATTTTTCCCACCTTCTATTCTAAATATTTCACATTTAGCAATGGAAGACCAACCTAAATTCTGTATGGCCTTGCTGTTGTGCAATGGTTGGCTAATATCTCACAATAAAGTCAAATTAGCAGAGCACAGTTCAAGTCCTTTCCATAAGGTATACTTTCTTTCTGCAGAATCACCCCTGCCCCCTAAAGCATAAGCACTGGTAACTGGTGTTTTTGTTTTTATTTTTTTATTTTTTAATTAATTATCGTACTCTATGGCCTGAACAGATGCAAATGGCACTTCACAAAACAAATATCTCCCTCAAATACGTATTGTTTTGCTCACACMGTGTTTGGAGCTCTGTTGGTATTTGTGTTTTTAAAACTGAGCTAACATCTAAAAATCAGACGATTTCACAAATAAATCAGACATTTTCTTTTTCTTCTTAAAATATCAAGCCCTGGGCCCATTTCCACAAGGCAAATGTAGATCAGAGCTGAGTGGTGGATGCCACCCATCAAAAAACACCTGCTTTCCACTGAACCATAGTAGCCTCCTCTGAGCCCAGTTCTCTCATTAGGTGACCTCCTGGCCCCTGCTAACATTTATGCTTGTGGACCATGGTTGAAGTGCTATTCTAACCAGCCAGCCCCAAACACTAATTAGAAATGCTAATGCCCTTATATTGTCATGCAAAGAAAGCTAGTTATTCTAACAGATTCCTTGAAATGGAGCTCAATGTTCACTGAACTACAATATTTCTTAGAAAAATATTTTCACATAAGAAAATAAAGCAAGTCAAAATATTCAACAAAATGTACTTCAACCAAAAATTGAAAAAAAAAATATATATATATTAGTAGTGTGACAAATATATATATATATATATTAGTAGACACACACACACACACACACACACACACACACACACAGGAAGCCTAATTATTTTCCTTCTGGGAAATAGGCAGTTGCCTATACAACATCTGCTTCCATACTCAACTGAATTAGATTCTCTATCCCCTTTTAGGAAAAGAATGGACCAACTACTGAGATTAAATCTCTAATTCACATCCTCTTCTAAATTACTGATTAAGGGAGCCCTTCTGTGCATATTCACATTGAGTAATGGTTACAAGTATTTTCTGAATCATAAAATCTACTAGTGAAATCTTTAAGACACTAAATAATCAGACCTTTTTAGATGCCTGTGTATCTGCCTGTAAAACCAAGAACTGTGGCAGCCTTCCTGTGGCCCCAGGGGACATGCCAGGACACAGTGAAGACTGCAGAATGGGAAGGGAAAAGCACGCTGGCCCTTGGCAATGATGGTTTTCTTCTCCCTGTCAGATGCAGCACCACTATGTTGCAGCAAATAATCTGTAATACCCTTCTTTGCTAAACAAAATCCATAGATCATGTAGCTCATGCATATGTAATGTAAGCACAAAAGTATCTTAACAATAACATGATACATATCTAAATAAGTGCATCTAGAACAGAAGATGCAGTTAGATCTTGGCAACCATTTCCAACAGATAATTTTGAATTTAAGAGGTGATTAGAAGCTATTTCATACAAAGGACAGAAAATAAAAAGTAGAGAGGTGAACACCAGAATAGAAAAAGAATTTGTTCCCCATATATTAAAACTGAAAAATACCTTATGCCTCTAAAGAAGTATTATGTGGATTCAAATACTTATAAATACGTTCATTTACAGSAATATTTATTCATATGGGTAGTAGAGATTGTACAGTATGCAAGACAATTTTTTTCCAGTTTGTAGCATACTTTCTCTTATTTCAGGACTTGCTGCACCCCAAACTGCCACCCACCAAATTTTGGCAACCACCCCCTACCTCCTCAACCCACATTCAGTATTAGAACAAATCACCAAAACTAAGGGGAAAAAAATATTCATTAGCTTTAGAAGCATTTTCCCTGAATAGCTCTTAACTGGGTTTCTAATTTGAGTCTGTCCAATCACTAATTATTTGTGTGGTTTAATAAATAAAGCATAGAGACACCTGCCGACAAAGTTTATATACGTGTGTGTGTGTGTGTGTGTGTGTGTCTGTGTGTGTGTGTGTTGGTCTACAAATTGAGTAGTAAAGTAAGCCAACTCATCCATCTGTGAAATATTTCAAGGTTGACCCTCCATTGATGACAAGATTTTGAGTTAAAAAGACAGTGGAGGACTGTGCTTAGGGTTTGATAATGTTTGCTTACTGAGCGTGAAATGAAATTTAACTGTGGCATGTCCACATTTGTAAATTTATTGTGGTTGTTTAGACTTCTTGCAAAATGAAATGTCAGGCAGTCATTCCGAGATTCCAAACATATTAGGCTTCAAAGTGTTCTGATAACAGAGGTTATTCTTTCAGCTTTCAAAGATAGTTTTTCTCTTTCTTCCACCACATAGAATTAATTAATATATTTGTTCAATAGCTAAGTGTGGAATGAGCACAGCAGAGTGAAAATAAAAGCTTAAAAATTATTTCCTAATTTGAATTGCTAAGYGTGCCATGTGAATATTGTAAGGGTTTGAAAAATGTTCATTGTGCCAGAGTTCACGTTTTTCCTGAAGGTGCAATATGTCTTAAGAGGAAAGATTTAG